TTTTCCAAAACAACAAATAAAATGAATATTAAACTCTCTGTGAACAAAACTGTCCTTCAAAAACGTAATAGGAGAGACCAGACTGGAAACTTTTATCATCCAGTCTTTGGTAGAAAAAAAAAAAAGAGAAAAACAAACAATTATGCAAATGGAATTTATTGAGCTCATTTTAATTTATCATGCGATTAATTGATTCATTTCTTATTGCGAAATGCTTAGTCAGCACGCATGTTGCAATTGCTCATTCCCAATTCACTCAACAATCTGGCTCTTTTCTGCTGTTTGTGTTGGAGAGATTTGATTCCTGCGAGCACATATTGATTCGGCTGCCCCAGATAACGAGAAGAACAAAGAAGTCCCTGAACTGCCTTGTTTGGCCCATTAACCTTAAGAGGCCATATTGTGCCTCCCTCATTAGTTTTATCATCTACTGGCTTGCCAACAGCGTCGCGTCGAGTTTCTGTCCTCAGCCGCTCCCTTCCATCTGTTGATTGGGCTCCAGCTTCTCCTTTGATTATGTTTTCCTCTTTTCCTCCAGTCAAAATCTCCCCCCAAGGCTCAGAAAGACTTTATTTATTCTATCATATCCCATTCCTTCGCAGGCCTCCTCTTCCTCTCCCGTCAAATGACAATGAATATCCCATTCGTCCCATGAAGGTCAGGCTGCTTAGAGTGGATTTGGTGAATAATTTTAAACATCCGTGAGCTCGTCTGCATTCCAACTCATCCTGCAAACGTTGCATTGTTGTCATATTGGTCCCGTTTGATGGAGTGACACTACTTGCGTCTCGTCCCCCCCCCGCCCCGTTTCGATGACGGTTGCTGTGCTGAGTCAGGAAAAACGTGACGGACCGTTTAAAATGTTCACTCAGCTTGTTGGCGCTGAAGACGTTACGTGTTTGTTGAACGTAAACGAGTGTCTGTTTTGCTTCTGATGCTCGTTTTAGATTGTTCCCGGTGACCCGCTGGACAAGAGCATCGTGATCCGGCCCCTCGAGCCTCAGCCCGCCCCCCACCTGGCCCGAGAGTTCATGATCAAGACCAGAAGACGCAAGGCAAGTCGGCCGCACGCCTGTTTGCCCTTCGAATTTAAAATATTACCACAAATTTTGCATTTAAATAAATAAAAAAATACTAATAATCTTTGTCTCTTTGCAGGGTCTGAGCGAAGATGTGAGTATCAGCAAGTTCTTCGACGATCCCATGTTGTTGGAGTTGGCGAAACAGGACGTGGTGCTTAATTATCCGATGTGAGGGAACTTTTCAATCTACAGAACAGGTGTAGCTGTTAAACATCGGATCCATCTGTTTGTCCTTGTATTTTTATTTTTTTATTTGTACAAAACTTTTTTTTTTTGTAGCTCAACTTGTCTTTGGAGTTAAAATGAGAAAAGAGTTGGACTTGATTATGTTTGAATAAAAATGTTTTTAAACCAAATACAGATGTTTTTTGTATTTTACGGTGCCCATGCAGATTTCTTGTTTCAGATGATGAAACTAATTTTAATATCGGTCAAAGAGAACCTGAGTGAATACGAAATGGTGATGCAATACTTTTATTTACTAAGGGGGAAAAGCTGTTCAAATCAAACTGGTTTTATGTGAAAAGGTCATTTTTATTTGTTAAATCATGAATAAATTGCAATTCACCACTAAAACATTTCCTCCATAAAACTAGTCAAATAAATCACATCGCCCCACTTTATGTTCCATACACTGGTTCCCTATTAGAGAACAGACTTTAAAATACTTAAATTTATAAATTATTGAATGATGTAGCACTAAAATACATTAAAGACCTGTCATTGCTGCATCAACCTTTCAGATTTCTCAAGTCTTTGTTCTGGTTCTGGTTCTGGTTGTGCTCTGCTCTGCGTCCCCTGAACCACAACCAAACATGAGGAAGAATCATTCAGTTTTCATCTAGAACAAACTTCCAGAAAACTGCAAAACAGCTGAAATACTGTTTTCCTTTAAACCTGTAAAGCTGCTATTCGTTAATAACAATTGGAACAAGTTGTATTTTTTTTTTTTTTTTGCTGCAATGTAATTAATGTTTTTATTGTTTTCATCATTCTTCTACTCTGTTATTGAACATGTGCTATATAAAGCCTTGCTTAAATGTTTTTAATTTTACACTGGTCTGATTAGGACTTGTACAACTAAGAATTCACTTAAATAGAAGCTGTGTGACAACATGAAGTGGGCTAAAATATCTCAACTGAAGAGATTCTACATCTGAAGCTACGTTTTTGACATTTGTCAGTTTGGAGAACAATTTCCGAAGCTGGTATTCATGGAACCACAGATTCTGCTTAAACTGAAGCACTCTTATGCTACAGGAGCATTCCAGGATGTACACTTCTTAAGCAAAAAAGAACAAAATGAATGAACTGGAACGGCCAGGTCAAAGTCTAAACTTAAACTGCCTGTTTTAATACCTTAAGCAGGCAGTTTTGTGCCAGAAAGTCTCTCCAAAGTGGCTGAATTTAAAGTGCAGCAGGGAATGTTGTGTTCCTGTCGACCATCAGAGAGCAAATAGAAACTTTACTGACGCTCACCGTGATCGATCCGTCGTTTTGGGGACATTGTGGGCGGTGACTGACTGGCAGAGTGTGGGACGGAGGCACAAGCAAAGCGACAGGTTAGGATTGGTGGCTAAGTATAATTGAGATATTTTTAATTTAAAAAAAGTAGCTCAAACATGGATATATATTTTTTTTTTTATCTTTTATGTAAAACCCGTTAATTTATTCGAGTTTAATCATGAGCTGTGTCGACACAGGATTTAATTTAAAAGTTGACAAGGCTGGAAGCAGTTTCTCAGACACAAAGAGGTTTGGACAAAATACCCTAAACTGTCTATTCATTGTGAATATTTAAAACATCTAAATCACAAATAAGGCACTTAATGAGTTCTTGTTTTGTAGAAATGGGACAAAATAAAAGCACACATTTTTAAGGAGTCATTTTTGCTTGGTTTTTTTTTTTTTTTTGTCTCACCTTGTTGAGGGATTTTTGGCTCCCACATTTTTTATCTTTTATCTTTTTTTTGTGCATTAATTGAATGTATGAAGCATTCCAGCTTTTGATGTAATACTCCAGTTGGGTTTATTTCAATGCACAAGGAGAGAAAAAGACAGGAAGAGAGTTTAGGGGAGAATGTGAATAAAAGATGAGAAGGCTGGAGAGAATACAAAAAAAAATGTGTTTTTCAACATGGCCGATTGTTTAATCTCGTTTCTTTTCTTTTTCAGTCTTCCTGTTTGCGGCTGTTAGGCCAAACCAGCTGTCAGGCAGATGGCCTCACACTTGATTGTAGAGTACTTTGTTAATCAGAGGAGTTGGTGACTCAGTAACTAATAGGTTCCTCTTTGAGCTTCTCCATTCAGGGAAAACTGTTCCAGATATTTTGTGGGGTTTTTTTGTTGCCTTTTTTACAGATAAAACTTTTCAAACCTGCTTGTTCAGTCTTTCTCTAATAGCACAGCCACTAGATTTCTTCTGGTCTCCGACATCTTGTCGCTGGAAGTTTGAGTTGTTTTCACTACAGAATGATGGATTTCAGAATTGTCTGAAAATGGACTTAGAACTCCGAGATTGTTGAAAACTACCGTTTGCATCTTTCCGTTTCAGCGTTGGGTTGACGCACAAGCTACTGCTTTCATAGCGCTGGTCAGACCGACTGATAATAAATCGATTCATTTGGAAGCAACAAGAGCATAGCTGGTATTCCACACAAAACTTTTCATCTTGACTTTGTCTTTGTTGAGTGGAAACAGTCTGGCTTTGACTTTCCCAAATTGTGGAACAATCTGCCTTGTGGAATTAGATAATCGTAATCTCTGGTGGTTTTTAAACCTCTTCTGAAAACCCATATTTTTACCGTGACCTTTGACACCTTGTGAGATGGTTTTAAACAGATTTTTATGTTGGTTTTTACATTATTTTTGTGCTGTTTTCCCACTGCGTTTATATTATGTGCTTTTATTGTGTTCTGTTTTATTGAATACCATTAGATTTTTAGCTTTTAACCTATTTTCATTTGGTCCTATGATGGTTACCTTAAAGCAGAGGCGTCCAATGTGTGGTACGGGGGCCATTTACGGCCCTCTGAAGGATTTTGGGCGGCCTCAATTTTAAACTGGAGCAAATCTGGCCTGCAAACATGAGTGTTTGATGCAGACACTCTCTTTTTCCATCTTTTAAGGCAACATTTCTAACAAATGAATAACATCTGAGAACAAATTTAAGGTAAAAAAAAATTAGGTTCGCATTTATGAACAAAGTTTTTGCATTTATCTTTGGAGTAACTAGAACCACAAACATTGACCTGCTTTTTCTCAAAAGCAAATCCTACTTCTCAGACAAGTAAATTAACTAAATAAAATGTTCAAACTGTGGGAATGTGTAAAGACCTTTTTATGTTTTGTATCTACAATGATTAACAAAGCAATTTTTCTACAAAAATCAAAATTTTTTATTGATTTTATTGTTAAAAAATTGAACAGATAAAATTTAAAAAGGCGAAAAATGTCATAAAAATATGAAGGTTTTTTTTTTTTTTTTTTTTTCTCGAAGTGCCTCCAAGTTAATAATTTTGGCCCTCATGGTAGAAAAGTTAAGACACCACTACCATAAAGTGCTCTAGTAATAAAGTTGGATTGAGTTTCCTCGTGCAGATTTATCCGGTGGTCTCCAAACATAAAAGCTGTTACTTTGTGACTGTCAGCAGAAAAAGCTGCTTGCAGCTCAGCATGTTTTTGTGTTTAAAAGTTGACCGTCCAAGTAAAACTCCAGCCAAAGACAAAGACAAAGGACTGCGCAGCAGAAAAGTGACTAATGCCGCGCTGGAGCCACTACACTCTCAGAAACTGACCACAGTCAATATTTCTGGAGAAAGATGGACCCTGCCGGGCAAAAAGCATTTAAGTAAAGCTGCTATATATTGATGGCAGCCTCTTTAATCACTCCTCAGACCACCATTTTCGCTCACTTCGGGACGGATCGCGATTTAAGTCTTTGTCACACCTTCAGTAGACTCTGCTGTCTGAACAGCTCAAGCCCTCATCACTCACCGCTGACAATATCCCGGCAGCCGTACTGGAGGTGTTGTAGATGGCGAAGGTTAGAGCACAAACAGGAAGAGTCAAATATGACTTGAGCGACTTTTGACATTTTGCACTGAATGTCAATCCTGTCCAGCAAGACAAGTGATTTGCTTTTCGGCAAACGAGGGGCTGGGGGAGGGGTATGTTCTGCCCTTTCCAAACGCCGAGGGGAAAGAGAACGGGAGGAATTTGTGATGGCGAAAGCCCAAACTAGACGAGCAGGAGTGAAGCTGCGGCTCGGCTCTGGTTGGGGTATTGCATCCCGCCACAAAGCTGCTCCATTAGAGCGTTTTGAACTTTACACATGTTTTGAGTTAGCGTGTTTGTTCCAGCTCTTCCTGAGCCGGGATCGTGCCTGGCCGCGGGTTGCAGATACGTACGGCAGCAGCTCTTGCCCGTCTGAACACGGGGCCCCGGAGCACTTGTTACAATCTGTGGCCCTTGTGCTAAATATAGACCGGAGCAGACTGTGGTACAGGGCCTGCTTGGGGCAATTTCCTCCTGTTCCTTTGCAGCTTTCTCCTAAGCACCTCATCTGTCACCTTTCCCTGCAGTGTATTTGCATTTCTAGTGTTCATGTGTTCTGGCCTGTCTCTCTGCTACTATGGACCGCAGTGGCTCTGCCGTGTGTCAGTGACTCAGTCACACTTGTCTCATCCTGCTAGCATCAGGAACCAATCTTTTCCTCTGGAATCTCCAGCAGTAGGCAGCTCAGGAAGGCTTGGTCACATGCAAATCATCTACAAACAGAGGTGGGGGGAAAAAAGCAGCCAGGAATCATTAATAGATCTAAAGTCTTAGTGGAGATGATTAATGTTTAGTCATCTGACAAACAATATCACGACTGCACCAAATGATGTCTGAAGCAGCCGCAGAACAAATCGCAAGCAGGAATTGAGAAGATGTTTTAGTCGATTTCATTTTCTGCCACTTTTAAACCTGCTCCTTCTGTGGAGCATCAGAGGTCAAAGGTGCTGGCTTCCCATGATGTGGAGCGACAAACGGCAGGAACAATACAGCGAACATGGAGTCTACACCCCAAAAGATTTTATTTTTGTCATGTTTCATATTGTTCCAGTCATACAAAATCCTCATATATGTTTTTATTAATCTTGGTTTAACAAAGTTAAAGTTTTAATAAAGGTAAATATCAAAATTCAGCTCTCAATTTATGATTTTTAAAGGTTATTTTTTAAGGGTAACGCTATCTATTCCATATGACCTTGTGTGAAAGTAACAAATCTCTCTTACTAGATTATTAATTCACATTGATTAACCAAATTTTACTCCAGTTTCACTAGCAAGACTCCAATGACTTAAATGTTTGCTTCCTAATTTAATGCCTTGAAATTGGGATATATATATATATATATATATATATATATATATATATATATATATATATATATATATATACACAGACTTTTAAGACACATGTTTTCTCTACAAATTGAGAATACGTGGAGCAGTGATGATCCTTCTCAGAAAAACAAAGTTTCAGGACCTCAATAGAACCCAAGAAAACATCTAAACTTCTGCAGGTCTTCTTTCGTCAGTCTACCTGATTCAATAACAAGAAAAGGTATGTGGAAAACGTTCTCTGAGTCCCAAAATTCCTTTCGCAGCCATTTAATTGAAAAGAGCAAGTGATGTAAAAATGTTTTTATTCGGTCCCAAGAAGAAATTGTTCTGTAATCTTGACCCCCACCTGCTCCTTAACCTTCCCTTTAGTGCATCCTTGCATTCCCACACAAAGTCATTGCATAACATTTTATCTTCCTTCCAGAAAGTCTGTCACAATTTGGGCTCTGGCAAGGTCGACGCTCGTGTGCAGGCAATTTCACCCGCACACATGCTAGCAAAGACGTTGCACAACCATATGACTGTGTGACTTTTTCCCACTTGGTCACCCGAAGGAACTGCAACACTGAATCATATCGCTTGTTATTTCATAACCGGACCCAGAATTAAGTTTTCCCCAGAATGTAGCCTGTAAACTGATGTAGGGAGGACGAGCATGGATGGCTGCGGAATCAGACGGAGGGGTCGGATGAACTTGTGCTTTAGAACAATCAAGCAGCAAACTCAAAACAACCAGCGGTTTCAATTTGCCAAATGAGCCATGTGCGTCCCGCCGCTCGAGGCCTTCGGCGTAAGCACATTTAGACCGGATGAAGGGCCTCGCTCAGACTGAGCCGCTTAAGCACCTTGGAACGATCCGAGACGTCCAGCCAGCTCCTCGGCAGGAGATGATGTTGATCGTATCACAGACGTCATATCCTGAAGGCTCCTGCTTGCCTCAGGCGTTGAAATAAAGAAATCCTGTAATGGATCATTTTCTATCAAATATACTGAGCCGGTTCTTACCAAATGCACCCCACTGTGATTAATGAGTCTTAATATGATTACAGAAATAGAAGAAAATTAAAAAGCGATTACTAACGACTAATTTCTGGAGACAAAAGACATGCTTGTTTGACGTTAAGGTGTCAAAAAGAGACAGAGTCTAAACTGTCACTCATCAAATCAGCTGTTTATTCAGCTTTACTGGCCCAACAAACCAAAATTATCTTTATGAGGTTGTTGCAAAACTTGCACATTGAGTGCATTGTAATTTTCCTTTTTTTTTTTCTAACACTTTGTGTAAATAAGTTGTTTTTTTGTGTCCTAAGTTTTGAAAAGGCGCAATAAAACCTCAGTGGTCTCACTTTTGTTGCAGTTACAGCTGCTGGTATGTTTATGCCAGCTTTGAAAAAAATCTAGAGACTGAATTTTTCTTGCCTATTCTTTAGAAAACTGAAGCAGCTCAGCCGGATTAGTATCTGTGAACAGAAGATTTCATGTTTTGCCACAAGTTCTCAATAAGATTTAGCTCTGAACTTTGGGCCACTCTAACACATTGATTGGCTGTGATCTACATTCCAGTGTAATGTAGTGACTATGTGTGCACTGCTGGATTTCATTTACGAGAAGGCAAAACATGCACACCGCACGTTTCAAATTTTTCATTTAAAGTCAAATTTAGTACATTTCCTCTGAAACTGAAGTTAGTTGTAATGTGACAAAATGTGCCTACGCGAGGCCCTGCATATATGAATCCAAATTTAGCCAACATTATTTATTACCATGTAACACATTGCTTATTAAATAGTGTCAACACGGCTGTTTCTGAAAAACTCCGGCAGGCTGCAGCTTTGTTTAACGCTGGCTCTCATGTTGAAGCAGATGTTTATGGACCCGAGATGTATGACCTGTCGGGTGCGCGCACCGCCAAAACACGTGTACGCGCAACATCTTTCCTTTTTTTTTTCTTTCTCTCTCCCCCCCCACACACACATACGCGCGTACACACACCGATCCCTGCAAACGAAGGGTCGACGGGCTTCCACTGAGAGGATCCGGCTGTCACTCACCGAGCTCCACCCGATCAGCCAATAAAGGTTCCGGCTGCGGCCCGGATAAACACGCTGCTTGCGGGCGGATCTTCAGGTGATCAACAGATCGGCAACTGTTCACCACTCCTCCTGCGAGGAAGAGCAAAGATGAGGGACCCGAAAGGCAGCGCCGGAGCCAACAGGCATGTGAGCCACTGACATATTTATCGCTGAATTCCCGAGCCAGGCAGCCAGAGCGATGTGAAGGGACGAGCGCCCGAGATTCGCTTCTAAATCGGCCGACTCAGCTGAAAGGAGGTTCGATCCCTGCCAAAATGACCAGACTATTGTCTCGCATCTTCGCAACGGAGCGGGCCCGCAGGAATCTTGGCACCGGTTTTACGCAGCAGACCACATAGCTCGATCGACGTTCAGCTCGACTGAGGAGCGAACACATGGACAAAAGAGTGCCTGCACACGTCTTCGTAGTGATGCTGCGAGGTGAACATTGACAAGCCGTCAGAGAAACGTCCCGCTGTTTCCTCCCCGAGAGGGAAAAATAAAAAACACACACACACAAGGAAAAGGATCAACGGCGGAACCTCGGCAAGTCCAAAACGACCTTCCCTCCGTCCCCAAACAAAGGATCGTCTTACACCTTAAAGCATCTTCACAGACTCGCATAGCGGTAAGAACGCATCTGTTTGGTCACGTTTATCACTGAAGGATCATTTAAATCCTAATTGGGCGCCAAACTAATCCGGTGGAAAATGAACGGATAAATCAGGGTCACAGGCGCGCCGCATGGCACCGGAACGCACAAACCATAGCCTCATCAAATCAGAATCAGCGTTTCCTTTCTGTCTGCTCTTCTATTTGGAATAAGCAACACATAACTTCTCTGTAGACACAGCAAGGCTTTGGGGGAATGTAAACAGACAAGGGGGAATCTGAAATACTAATTCTTGGTCATCACTTTGTTGAAAGTCACTTAAAAGTCAAACTTCTCACTCATCTCACAATAAGGAGTAAGATGGGTGGTGCAGGGATTTATTTCCTGCAGAAGCTGTTTACATAAATGTCAAGCAGGCTTCATAACGACTTTACGTGTAAACTAATGTGCTTAATTAATAATTTATGCTCTGGCAAGCGCTCAGAAGCCTTCCCCCAACAAAGCAACAGAGGTAATGTCTTTGGATTGATGAGAATAGTGATGAATATGGAAAACTTGCAGATTCTACTTTGAACACCGTCCCAACAGAATCAAGAAACATTTTTAAAACGGCGTTTCATAAATAGTTTTGTAGTTTCATAAATGATGTTTTCATTTAGATGGAAAATTCACTTTAAAAAAAGAATTAGCAACAGATTCTTGCATGAGCACATGACCCTAACCTTTTTTTAAAGTGTGCACTGTAAGTTAATTGACTTCTCCAGATCACCAAACTGTGAGCTCTTTGTTTTGAAGTAATTAATGAATAGTAAGTAAAAATGTATTTATTTATTTATTTATTTCCCCGTTTGATCTGTAAGTCAGGCAAAACTGGACAACTCCAACCAATGTCTAAATGACTGGTCCATGTTTGAAATTAGCTTTTATGGTCAAATTAGTTATATTTTAAATGCAATTTTTTTTTTCGTATTTATGATGTTTGAGTTGTCTGTACCCTTTAATCATTGTTTTGTTTGCTGCACAAAACAATAATTGCCTCTTTGCCAGCTCTTTCTCAATAGAGATTTTATCTTCCTGGTAGAATAATGGTTAAATAAAATAAAATTGAAGTTCTTATAATGATAAATATGCTTTGCCCCTTCAAAATAAACAAGTCAGATAAAATAAGAGCAGTGAAATACTGATGTATTCAACAAAATACAAAAGCAGCAGGTTACCGAGTTAATTAAAAAGATTTTTAGCATTGATTATTCCGCTTTTAAAGCTCCACCTTTGGGGCGTACGTGTTATGTAATTATTGTCGCCTCCATCTTTACTCCACTGTTACCTTTTACTTCCTTTCGCCTCACTGTAGCGCTCACCAAATAAGGCGCTGGCCGTCCCTCCATCTGCACACATCTTCAGTCATTTTCTCGGCACATCAGGAGGAACATTTCCCAACACGTCCAGCCAACACCTGGAGTAGTTCACCGTAATGAGGAGAGGGCTGTTTTTTGAAATTTGCCACGCTGGTTTCAGCGTGGAGCAATTTGTCAGTGCCACAGCAGCAACAGCTCAAATATGAGCCACCATAATGAGTTTCTCCCCGTGTGCTTGAGAAAATCCCTGCTACATGTGAAGTCATTGTGATGGATTTTGGAGCCTTGCCGCTGAAAGCTCTTAGTGCTACTGAGTGATTCTTGCTCTAAGCGTATCAAACTTTGTGTTTTGTTTTTTTTCCCCTATAATTTTTTTTTTTTATGTTGGCAAGCTGCCACCTCAGTTCCCCCCCTCTCCACCCCCAACTCTATTTTTGGTTCCATCAAGGGAAAGCAGTTTTGGCATTTCACAGCCTCGCATTCCTCATTAACATTTACAGTATGTGAAAGTATTTAGTGAGACAGTCCATTTCTCTGGTTCTCCTCCCTGCTTGTTATCCCCCGCACTCGCGACACAGACCATTATTTCACTCGCTGTGATAGCAGACAAGAGGAAAAGTCAACCCCTTTGCTCTGCAGCACTCAGAGAGAGAGATGAGGAGCATATTCTGTTTGGCAGCTGAGAAATGCACCTTAACCTCAAACTACGTTCCTCTTTTAATTTACCATGCAGCATTTTTTTTTTTTTTTTTTTTTTTTTGGAGGGGGGGGGGTGATAATTTTCCCGTCTCTTTGGCTCAAAATATGAAATAAAATCCTGACCTTGCAGATGTGGGTGATAAATTGTGCATGGATATTTATTAAATGATCAAAGGATGTCCTAGAAAAGCCAAAGAAATGATACATAGTCTCTTAGCTGTCTGTTGTGCTGATTTATATTCAATATTCCTGGGAAAGAGAAAAACTGATATATTTTTTACTTGCAGTCTTCAGAAATTGAACCACGTACATCAGTCCAAGAAAGAAAGAAAAGAACAGCAGCGTAGATAACTTTCTAGGTTGCATACATAAGCAGGTACTTTATATATTTACATATATACAAAACACAAACTATATAGAAGAGCTGTCTTTAATTATGCAAATATGCTTTTCTCATAAAGAAACGACAATTCGGGAGTAAAATCTTCATTTTTTATTTTATTGTGAATGCAGACACTGGATAAGAAACCCATCTCTGCAAAACTCAATCCAGATCTTTTGCCCTAATTGCCTTACGCTGAAATCCCAAAAACCTGTTTTATATGGGAAATCAATAATGGTATACATTTTGTACAGTGCCTTAACTTGCTGTGCTTTTAATTTGCAGTTAAAAGCTGGAATCACTGTGGGAGTTGTGATTAGTGATGGTCCATTAAACTGAAGATGCATTAGATCCTCCTTTAAGGACTTTTGAGAGAGCGCATCAGATAAAGGGCTTTATAATTTAATTTAACACTAAGCGGCACGGTGCATACCACTATATTCAGTTCCGGTCATATGCCTACATCCAATCATCGCAGACATGAATGTCATCTTATGTCATCATTATATTTTTTTTTTCACTTTGTTGAGATATTCTTTTCCAAGGTGCACAGATGATGCAACTGCAATGATAAGAAAAATAAATAAAGTTTACGATCGCTTTTATCTTAGCCGCTTGGTTAAAAATATGTATACTCACTTTTGAGTACTACTTACATTTACTCAATTATATTTAAATTGTACTTGTAGGAGTATTTTTTACCTTGTGGTGCTTTTTAATTTTACTTGAGTAATCTGATTATGAAGTACTTCTGCTTTTACTTGAGTAAAATGTCTGTATTCTCTACCCACTGGATGAAAAACAAACATTCATTCAGCAGGCACAGATACTAGCCTGCAGTTTTTGTTAAAGTTTCATAAGTTTATTATTGAAAGAAACTGATTTGGAAACATTTTATTTTGCCTGATTTTGATTTTTTTTTATTACTTATATAAATTATTGTCATTTTTGTCCTTAAAATACCAAAGTTTGCATATAACTTTTTATTTGGGTCCGTCTGATTATGTAGTTTTTAAATATTAAATGATTAATAATTTGATCAGTTACTCAGTGCTTGAGAAATACTTTTTTTACTTTTAATTGCATCACTTTTTGGATGTCTAGTTTTTAAGTTTACTTTGGTAAAAATATGCTTAAGGTCATTGCTCTGTTGGACACCCAGTTATGTCCAAGTTTCTAACATCATCACTTCACTATTGCGCCTTTTGGCTTTTTCCCCCTTGTACAGCACTCTGTGCAGTTTGAGTTGTTGGAAGCATGTTTTATAAATACATTTGACCTTTGACCTAGCTGTTCATTTCGTCAGTATCCCATCCATCAACCCCAGAGCACGATTCTGCCACCAACACGCTTGGCAGTTGTTTCAGTGTTCTCAGATTTGAAAGCCTAAATAATTCAACTGTAATTCCTGGTTTTGTACGTTTATCTTTGTCTCATTTAACTGTAAGCTGCGACCGAACATGACCGTTGAGCAGCAGGGCTTCAGATTTGGTCTCTTAAGACTTGGTGTAAAACTAGCGTCACTGTGGTCAGTTGAGTGTTGAGTCTCGCAATTTCCTCTCATTCAAAGTTAACATTGTGGGTCAGATGAGAGATGCTCTGATCAGAATAATGTTCCCAAACACAAATCACACATTAAAGCTAATTTGAAATGCAAAAAAAAAAGCAAGAAAACCAGCAAACTGAAACAATCTCTGCCTGTTTTGTTGGCTACAAGAAGCATGTGGTCAAGGCTTCAACTTGCCAAGAGACATTCACCCAAATATTAGTGGGATGCGTGCAAATATTTGAATTAATTTATAATTTTGACACAAATTTGCGTTTATTTGTTACATTAAAATTTAAGTTGAAAAAAAATGAATGAAAGAAAAGAATAATGCCCTTGATGAATGCAATGCCTCTATGTAAGCTGAATGTTGTTTTAATGTGTCACCTACTGCAACATTATTTCCTGATCGCTCAGTGGGATGATTTAAAGTCATTGAATTATAGCTCCATAAAACACAATTAATCTCTAAAAATCCCCGGGATGAGTGCATTTGGTGTGCAATGATCCACCATTTTACTTTCATGAGAATACTTTGTGTTAATCACTCCCAGTCATCTGCAATTATGTATACTTGTTGAGGAAATTGTCTCCAGGTTGTGTCTAAATCGATTCCACGCTCGCAGGCAGCAATTTCTGATAAACGCAGTAATTTCTTCCAGTTTTTTTCTATACAATGCGGAAGGTGGAGCAAGTTCTGGAAGAGGTGAACGCTTTTAGCGACAAAATTAATGAAGCAGGTGCTTTGGAGTGTAAAAAAAAAAAATCAACATATCGGGACTCCTGGATTTACAAAAGCAAAGAAATGAGAAAAAGCAGTGATGTAGGCGACGTGAGAAGGACGTGGATTTGAACTGAGATCCTCCTTTGCTCCTGCATCATCTCTTAGCTGGCTTCGGTTAACGTGAAACACCAAGGTATTATGCTTATTTCTTGTTCAGATGACAGAAGCTCATAGCTCGACTTAATCCTCGGAGTGTCGCTTTCTGAGGGAAAAGCGTATATTTATCCCCACCAACCAGTCTGGATTCCCTCCGCTTGCCGCCGTGCGCTCCGCTCTGCGTTTTTCTGCTTGCCAGTTCCTGTAAGCCACTTTGAAGAAGCAGCAGCAGAGGGAAGGTGCTTTGCTCTCTTTCCATGTAATTACCAAGTGATTAAGGTTGTTGGAGGTCATCGGCTGTAAATGGGAGACGCAGCAGTGCGCGTTTGCGTGCACCCACTTGTGTTGTTGTGCAAAGTTTCTGCTGCACCGACTGAGCCACTTGAAAGTAGCTGTGACATAAATGATGGATTTAAATGTGACTGAACTATTGCTTGAGTCAGCAAATGGTAATTTTCTGCTATTGTGATTAAATTAATATACTACAATTAGTTCTGGATGACTGATGTAGAATTAATTGGCTAGTGAGACGTTCTCCAA